CACCAGGAAGACAGAGCATCACTTGCCCCAGAGCCCCTATCTATACCTTGTGGCTAATAGCCACTGATGGACCTCTGCTCCATATGCCTATATGCCTCTACTCTTGCCTTGAAAACTGTACAGGGTCACCTTGTCGGCTATAACTTGGCGGTGCTTTCCACCATCTGCCCTGACCTGGGTGGCCGGGGCTAGCCCAATCTTGCCAGCTCTCAGAACCTAAGTAGGGTCGGCCCTGTTGTGTACTTGGACGGGAGACCACCAAGGAAGTCCAGGGTTGGTCACAGAGGCAGGCGATGGCTAAACCACCTCTGTTCGACTCATGCCTTGACCTGGATGGGCCGGTCTGGGAAGCTAAGCAGGGTCGGCCCGGATTAGTACTTGGATGGGAGGCCACTGAGAAAGACCAGGGCTACTATGCAGAGGCAGGCAAATGGCAAACCACCTCGGAACGTCTCTAGCCTTGGAACAACCCTACAGGGTCGTCGTAAGTCTGCTACAACTTGATGACACGTTTCATCACCACTTGTAAAGCGTGTGCGGGGCTCAAACCGCTTTGCATTAGATCGTTGCGGTTCCCACAACAGCCCTGCAAGCAGTGTTCCCTCTCAGCTGAGTTGACGAGAGCTCGCTCACAGTTTTTTAGCATCCAGTTCACACATTTTTTGTCTCAGCTCAAGAAGGGGTGGCTCCAGAGCAGACTAATTTATGCAGTAGCCCAATCGCTCGCTCACAGCTTTAATACCGGTCGCTCACAAAGTAGAATTTTTGCTCACAAGACTCAACGGCTTAGAGGGAGCCTTGCCCGCAAGGTAAGGCCAGTGTTGTTTACCTTCTCCATTGCAGATTAGACGCGAGTCTGGAGGAGAGAACAGTTTGCGCCAAGGCCGCCTTGCAGCAGAGGCACGATTTGAAACCGGCACTTTTGGGAAGCACTCCCTGTTAGCTTTACACGGCAGCTGATCCAGGGTGCCCCACTCTCTCCTGTGTGATGTTGTCGGGTGCTGCCGTTGCCGGTTCGTGGCCATGAGTTAAGAAGCAGTCCCCGACTACTCCTTTTTAAAACTCCACCTCTGCACGTTGCATCCAGAGAGGAATCCCAGCTGTCGTGCGTCTGGTTCGCAAGTGTTTCATTCCCACACATGGCCAGGCAGACTTCTCAACTGAGGCCCCTTTTCGCTTTTATTTCCCTCCCCCAGATCACAGAGCCCAATCATAAGTTAAAAGGACTGCTTGGTAACAGCTGGTGGTGATGGACACCCTTGGTCTGTTGTCATAGGCTGGTGGTTCTTTCGAGGAAAAGGTTATTGGCAATTCCGTTAAGTAGGCCCCAACTTTAGGCTGGTGGTTCTTTCGAGGAAAAGGTTATTGGCAATTCAGTTAAGTAGGTCCCGGCTTCTCGGTCCAAGATGACCTTGAGCAATCTCTGGCTCTGTGTCCTCCGGAATATCTGCATCTTTTTCGCCTTATAATTTCAGTTTCAGGGTTTTTATTATCCCCTTGGTCCAGCTGCAAGAATGGAAGCCTCTTGGGTTGCTAGGCAGCCGCTAGGGCATAAACTGCTTCCGGGTCAGTGTGCAGCAGGAAGTGGGGCTTGTGGTGACCAGGAAAGGCCTTCCTCACCACGGGCGATGGGAGCCTCTCGGGGTTGCTTAGCTGCCTTGCAGTCTGTTTCTGTCAGATATTCAAGGGGACGGCCTGCGGTTGCCAGGCAACCCTAAGAGGCTTCCTTCCTGACACCATCGTAAAAGGAAGCCTCTTAGGGTTGCTTGGCAGCCGCAGGACATGCTCACAGGAAGCAGAAGGGAGTAGGAAGTGACTGCGAGGGCAATCATAAGACATTCCCATTGCGTGTGGTGAGGATCCGGTTGCCTGGCAACCACAAGGCATGCTTCCTGAAGGCTTCTGGGTTGTGGTGAATGAGGCCAACGTGCTACATTTCCATCTTTCTCCAATCCTGGGCTGGTTAATATTTTGGGTGTTTCCGTATCATGTGCGGACCTGGTAACCAGGGGGTGGAGTACCCACGAGAAACTATCTCTGCACCAAGGAAAGCTCAGTCTCTTCAGAGATCCTGGAGAGCTGCAGCCAATCAGAATAAACCATACTGAACGTGGTGGACCAATGGGGCGGCTTCTTATGGGGAGGGGACACAATCGAAGGGTAAAACCCTGGTTTGGGAAATCCTTGGAAATTTTGGGGAGTGTCGCCTGAGGAGGGACTTCAGCAGGGTATAATGGCATAGAGTCCAACTTCCACGGCAGCCATTTTCTCCAGGGGAACTGTACTCTGTCTGCTGGAGACAAGTTATAGTTCTGGGAGATCCTCCAGCCACCTCCTGGAGGTTGGCAACCCTTGGTACAAGGCCGCTTCATACATTCCTATGTGAAAATGTGGCCTCTGCGGTCCTCTTCTCTGTCAACTCTCCTGGGCCATTCCTCCTGAAAAGTATTCTTCTCTTTGCCTGTGCAGGAAGAAGCCCACGCACACAACTGTGAACTGCTGGTTCTGCAACCAGGACACTGTGGTGCCGTATGGGAACCGCAACTGTTGGGATTGCCCCAACTGCGAGCAATACAATGGCTTCCAAGAGGTAGGTCATTTCCCATCATCCCCTGGGGGCCCGTTGCTCCGACGGCAGGCACCTCTCACGTTCTCCGCCCATCTCTGTGTTTGGGGAAACGTTAAGGGATATACTCGTAAATATATTGCCCTTAGGGAATTTAATTCTTGAATTTAATTCTTGAATTCTTGAATTTAATTCTCTGATGCCGGCCTTTTGCCAAATTTTAAGGTGAGACTGGAATTTTGGAAGCAGAGAGGTTTGTGTCTCTGTTTTTTTAAAAGGTGATTTTGGCTTTAGTGGAAAGGAGTTTGTACAGACCGGTTTGCTACCTTTCTTCAGTCAGGACTGTAGCAGCTGCTCTTGGATTTCCTTGGCTACTGCTTTTATTGCTTGCCTTTCTCCCCGCGTCTCCAGGTGGGCTATGCAGTTGAGAGCAATGCAGTAAGCGCAACATATAATATATGCAACAAACTATGCAGGGAAACTGGGATTACAGATTCAGAGAACAGTGCCTTAAAGACCGCAAAATAGAATACACACACCCTAAAAAACCACGCACAGGATAATACACGCAACGGCAATGGAACAAAGCCGCTTTGCAAATGAAAAGCGCGACAAGAGAACAAAGTGAGAGAAGCTAGCCGGCATTTCACAGACCTGAACGGCAGCTGTTCTGCCAAAAGTCCTTTTTGCAGTTCTGCTCCGCATGTTCTGCAGAATGGTAGAAGTGAGGGAGACTTCCCCACCTTATCAAGCAGGCCGTTCCCCAAAGCGGGAGTCACAACAGGGAGCGCTTAGCTAGCTGTGGATGTGCCCTTTCCCCTTCCGCAGCCTTCTTTCAACAGCCGTGAAATTCGGACCTATTTGGGCCTCCTGCTCAGCAGAGCGTCTCTGGCTCTTTGGGTTCTGCGTGTGCTTTGGCGGCTGTTTGCTACAGACTGTGCTCTGATGCCGGCGATTGTGGCTTCACTGATGGTGTTTCACAGTTTGATTTTTGTCGTGAGCCGCCACAAGTGCATTGTGGAGAGAAGAGCTGCAAAGGTTTTCCAGATCCAGCAAATTTATTTATGGGTTAGTGTATTATTTATTTCGTTAAGCATTCATATCTTGGCTTCGTTGTGGTTCAAGGCAGAGCGGTAGTGGTCATGATTAAGGTGAACAACTTTGCTGTTTGTGTGTGTACTTGATAGTAACATCCCATGGAAGACATGCTGTCTTTTTACCTATTAGGTGCACAGCGTGGTTTTAAACCGGGGCACTGTGCACACACGTCGCTTCCCAGAAGGAAGTGCGTTTCGCACATGACATGTAATGTATACCAGCCAATTTCCTAGCGGATGAAGCGGCATTCTGAGGACTCTTGACTTGGAAGTAAATTCCAATGAAGCCAGTGCAGCTTGATTCAGAGTCATGCGCTTACTGTGATGGTTGAAGACCTTCTGTACACCTTCCCAACCTTGTTTGGTCTTCCTCAGGCCCATAGCCAGGAGTTTGTGGCTTTGGGGGCAATTTTTTTTTTCTGGTGGGGCTGAAGTTAGTGCAGAAAGAAAAGCCAGAATTCTGTTACCAGGACAGATCTCTCAATTGCAAGCTGCCAACCACTTTAGAGGATAGTTCGCAGCTGCTGCAAGTTCATCACTTCGGCCAGCCTAAGCAACAATTCCGCTAACAATTTGGCGGTGGGGGTGATGTCTTCTATAGTCAAGAAAGCTGACACTTAGGCAGAAAAACTCTCTTCAAGGAGACCAGTTTCTTGACACAGAGTGAGAAGGGATCCTAGAGGTCACCTACTCCAACCCCCTTGTTCGGTGTGGGAACTAGTCAACTACAGCACCCCACTCTGCTTAAAGGCGTGCACATCTTTTTAAAAAACGCTTTAAAACAATTGAAAAAAGCATTTCCAGGAGAAATTCTTGTGGGGCTGTGCCTTCAAGGAAGGGCCAGAGCCCCCCAAAGCCCCATTGTAGCTACGGGCCTGGTCTGCCTTCATGGGAACACAATCTCTGCTAAACGACACTGACTTTGGTGCGGGAGTGAACTTCATTTCACTTTCATACTAATTTTTTAGCAGCATGTGTAAACCATTGGGGGGGGGCAGGCTTCACCTTCCTCTGGGCATGGGGCAGGGGTCTGGGGGGGGAGTGGTGGTGGTGGAAGCTGTGAATTTCCTGTATTGTGCGGAGGGTTGGACTAGATGACCGTTGGGGTCCCTTCCAGCTCCATGTTCCTTGTAATTTCAGTTCTGTGGGAGCTGGGGGTTGGTGGTGACGGTGGCACTCTTGAGGGAGTCGTCTCATGACTTCCCCGGGCTGATCTTGCCATTCCTCTGGACAGAACGGCGATTACAACAAGCCGATCCCGGCTCAGTATATGGAGCACCTGAACCATGTCATCTCCGGGGACAGCTCTTACTACGACTCCACCAAGCCCCAGCAGTGGGTGAGCAGCCAGGTCTTGCTCTGCCGGAAATGCAACAACTACCAGACCCTGAAGATCAAGCAGCTGGCGTCCTTCATGCCCAGGGAAGAGGTATGGACCTGCTTTGGGGGGAAACGGAGCCGGAAAGGTCGAAGGACTGGAGAAGAGTGCTGGGGAGCGGGATGGGGGGGGCGGAGGTTTGTGCTTTGTCTTTCCCTTTCCAGAGGGGCTAGCTCTTTACAAGAGGCAGAGGCAACAAGAACCAAATCTGGCCTTCCACTTCTCTTCTCCTCCCGCCTGTCCGACATATTCATATGTAGCTCAGCCACTTTCTCCCAAGCTGATGCGAGACGGAGGGCTCTTTAAGCTGCAGTATAAACAGCAAGAGATGCTTCGGCAGGGACTTTGTGCATTTATGAACATATAAGACCAGTGAGCCTGCTGGATCAGACCAGTGGTCCGTCTAGTCCAGCATCCTGCCTCACACAGCGGCCAGCCAGTTCCTTTGGAGGGCCAACAGCAGGGCATAGAGGCCGAGGCCTTCATTAGACCATCATAAGAGCCCTGCTGGATCAGACCAGTGGTCCGTCTAGTCCAGCATCCTGTCTCACCCAGTGGCCAGCCAGTTCCTCTGGAGGGCCAACAACAGGGCATGGAGGCCGAGGCCTTCATT